TCTCAAAAAAAAAAAAAAAAAAAAAAATTGGGATGACGATATAATATGAATATATCTATATCTCTATTTAAATATAGGGAATCATGCACATATGCATGATATTTATATATATGATACATAGATTCATACATGGTTATTTATATAGAGATGGATATCCATGGTATGCATACCTATAGTATATACTTTATGAGTATATGAACATTTTTTCATGTCATGAAATGTTTCAAAGTGTTTAACTGCACAATAATTCATCACGTGGTTATTCTGTATAACTTATTTTCTCTATTGACCATTTAGGTGGTTTCAAGACTTTTTCATAAATAATATTGCAATAAATATCCTCGGACAAAAATCTCACTGTACTTCCTTTAATTCCTTTGGATGCATTTCTAGAAGTGGAATATCCAGATGAAAGACTTTAGGTAATATTTCTAAATTTACTGTATTAGTCTGTTCTCATGCTGCTAATAAAGATATTCCCAAGACTGGATAATTATAAAGGAAAGAAATTTAATGGACTCCTAGTTCCACATGGTGAGTCCTCACATCATGGTGGAAACTGAATGAGGAGCAAAGTCGCATCTTATGTGACAGCAGGCGAGAGAGCTTGTGTAGGGGAACTCTCATTTATAAAACCATCAGATCTCGTGAGACTTATTCACTACCATGAGAACAGTATGGGGGAAATTGCGTCTATGATTCAATTATCTCCACCTGGCCCAGTCCTTGACATCTGTGGATTATTACAATTCAAGGTGTGATTTTGGTGGAGATACAGCCAAACCATATTATTGTCCTGCAAATTGTACCAACCTGTACCAAGATTTTATATTTATACTCCCAATAGCAGCAAGTGAGGATGTTCATTTAAATGTATTCTAGAAAAGGAAAAATAGCTAAAACAGAAAAAAGAAAAAAATGTATTTTAGACAGCACTGGATAGTGTAACTTTAAAACATTTAATGGAATTTTTAAATTTAAAACATACCCATTGTCAGTATCCTTCAAGTTCTTGTCCATCTGCATACATTTTGGCAGTTATGACCTTGAACACGTACTTTTTTATTATTTTCATTTCTAAGTCTTTATAACTTTAAAAAAAATTGGGGTACAGTGTCAGCGATCATGGTTCACTGCAGCCTTAGCCTCTCAAGCTTGAGATCCTCCCAACTCAGCCTCACAGGTAGCTGGGACTACACCAAGTCTTTATTATTTTTAAAAATCAAGTTTTGTAGCGTAAATAATCATCCCATTACACTTTTTGGTCTAACAGATAGATTGTTTCCTATCTTTTGCTTTCTTGCACAAAACAGTCTTAGA